CCAATCTGCTGGAAAAGTACCCCCTCTCAGGAATGGCTTCTTCCCAAGATACTGAGAAAGAGGGGTGTCAGTAATTTTCTTAAGGCCATCAACTGCCTGGATGAGGCCCTCCCACATTGGGAGGGCAAATCTGCTTTACTCAGTCAACTTCCACCTACCGATTTAAATGTGAATCTCTTCCCCCAAATACCTTTACAGAAACATCTAGAATCATGTGATCAGATATCTGGGTACCATGGTCCAGTCAAGTTGACACATAAAATTACCATCACTTTCTTTCCCACCCCCACCAAGGCCCTTGGGGCTCCTTGAGGTGTCCTTTCTCCAAGTCCTTCTCACTGGCCCCCCTTCCAGGATGAGGCTCTTCCCTGACATGTTCTATTCAAAAATGCCCCAGGCACCTGAACTCTGACTTCCTGGGCCTTTCTCTTTCCGTCTAGGTGAACCCCATCACTTTGAAGGCTCCAGAAAGTACCTTTCCCCCAAGAAGCCCCTCCTAGATGCATTGGAGATTTGTAAGCTCCAGAGATAGGAGGAGCTCTCCCTGTCCTAACCCCTGCTCCTCCAGGACCTGTGGGGGTGGGGAGACACATGGACCCTGGATTAGGAATCTTACCTGATTAACTTTCTTCTAGAGCTCAGCAGCATAGGAAATTATAATGCTGGCCCCATCTGTTATTGCCTCTCTCCTACCAGAACACCAGCTCTAGGTGGGCAAGATTTATTTCATCCCTGAAAGAGCCTCGCCAGTGCCTGGTGCAGAGAAGGGCTCAGGGTGAAGGCACAGTGCAAGGTGCACAAAGACATAGATAGACACAAGCTCAGCCCTCTAGACAATTTACAATGTCCACCTATTTCCACACTCATGGGCATTTTCTTCATTTCTCTCAGCCTTGGAGCAGACATCCTTTACCCCTTCCCTGAGAGCAGGAATTATCTTCTCTCCGACCTGCAGTCTGCCCAGAGTTGAGTGTCCCAGGACATGTCAGCTTGGAGAAAAGGGACCAGGATATTGTGGGGACCCTGAGGAGGCTGATCCCTGTGTTCCAGCCCCACACACTCATCAGAGGAGTTCCACCATTGCACCCACTTACCCCTGCATCATTAGGCTCCTGGGGACTCCCCCAGCCACCTTGATCCTAGAGATGACTTTCACGGGTTCCCGTCCCCTGTCCTGCAGCCTGGCAGCGCCTCCTGGTGGTGGACGTCGCTTTGGCAGGAACGGGGCTGCAGGGCCGAGGTGGGAGCAAAGATTTCTAGTTAATCTGATTTGGGGCCAGGGGAACCGGGAATCTAGCGCGCACCCCTCCAACGAATATGAACAGGTCGCCTGTTCATTTCCTTTTTCTATTTCAAAAGTAATGGGCTATGAATGTCTTCTCTGATGTAAGGGGTGACTCAAAATGGGGTAGGGAGGAAGAGCAGGAGAAGAAGACTACCTCTACACAGGGAAGAGAGGTGGGAGGGAAAGGGAGGGAGAAGGGGAATTGCACAGAAGATGGAAGGAGACCCTCATCGTTATACAGAATACATGTATGAAGATGTGAGGGGAAAAAAAAGAATAGTGTTACCTTAGATTAGGTAGAGAGAAGTGATGGGAGGGGAGGGGAGAGGATGGGGGGATAGGAAGGACAGTAGAATGAAACAGACATTATTATTACTGTGACTGCATGACCAATGTGATTCTGCACCTGTACACTCAGAAAAATGAGATATTATATCCCATCTGATTCAAATGTATGATATCTCAAGGTCATTGTACTGTCATGTGTATCTAATTAAAACAAATTAAAATTTTTTTAAAAAGAGTAATGGGCTATATGGTGACCCATGAATACGTAAATTTTTAAGTTTCTTTTTTTCTTTCTTTCTTTTTTTTTTTTGGTACCAGGGATTGAACCCACTGTGCTACATCTTCAGTCTTCAGCCCTTTTCTTGTTTTTGTTGTTGTTGTTGCTGTTTGTTTGTTTTTTAATTTTGAGACAAGGGCTCACTCAGTTGCTTATGGCCTCACTGAGTTCTGGGGCTGACTTTGAACTTGTGATCCTCATGCCTAAAGCTTCCCAAATTGCTGGGATTATAGGCGAACACCACCTCGACCCAGCTCTATGTATCAGTTTTAAAATAAAGTTTAAAAATAATAAGAAAAAAAGTAATTTACATTTATCATAAAAAATATATAAGTGAACAAAAAGAAAACACCATAACAAGTCACCAAATAAAAATACAGGACAAACACCAAGTTAAATTCAGATTTCAGATGATTGCATGGGGTGTGCTTATTCTAAAATACTATTCATAATTGATCTAAAATTCAAATTTAACCAGCTGCCCTGTATTCTTATTGGCTAACTCTATAAACTCTATATCCTTAACCTAGTTATGCCTTAGTTAACACACTGAGACAGTTTTTTGTTACCCCAAAAGTGTGTGAAATTCATAAAGTATGACTATTTTGCAACTTCCCCATTTAACAACATCCCATGAACATCTTTTTTTATATATTTATTTTTTAGTTGTAGTTGGACACAAATACCTTTATTTTATTTATTTATTTTTATGTGGTGCTGAGGATCGAACTCAGGGCCTCACTCATGCTAGGCGAGTGCTCTGCCGCTGAGCCACAACCCAGCCCCATGGATACCTTTTCACGGCAGGCAGTGCTCTTAATTGTCCAGTTCTTTATAATGTAAGACTTTTAGACATGAGGAGATAACTGTAACTCCCTGAATGATTCTTTTCCCCCCCTAGGCCCAACAGTCCTTCCTGTATCTTCCCTGGTTTTATCACCAGGGATGCTGACACTCTGAGTTCTGTTTGTGGCACTCCTGGGGAGGAACTAGTCTCAACTCTGCAAGTTAGCAAAGTGGGACTTTGCTCAGGGGGGGCGCTATAGATGCAGTGCAGGCATTAGACTGTGGGGTCCAACCCCTTCCCTGGTACTCCTCACTCACCAGCAAAGTGGCCTTGGACATGGCCTTGGATGTAGCTTGAACTTCTCTGCAAAGCTCCTATTGTAACACAGGATGTGAAAGCAGTAGTTACTGTGAGGATCAATCTGTCACTTCGCCACTAGATGGCAACCTCTTCACGGACAAGAAGACATGGCTATGCCTGCCGGGTCACCATTATGGCCTTATAGGATGCGCTCAAATGGCTGGTGTATCACAGGCATTCAAAAACCATGTGCTGAGCAAATGACAAGTGCAACAGAAAAGGCGAGCGTTTTCAACACCTGGGAGCTAGGGGTCGGTGGGAGGGTAGAGGGCAAGTCCTTGCTCTGTACTTTCTAGCTATAGGACTTTTTATGTTTCTCACTGCTGCAAATTTATACAACTTAGTAGTTTAAAATAATGCAAATTTGTTACCTAACAGTTCTGTAGGTTGAACTTAACTCTCTCATTGGGCTAAAATCAAGGCATCAGCAGGGCCATGGCCTTTTCTGAAGATGGAAGAGAGAATCCATTCCTCCCCCCCTTTACAAGTTTCTATGGCCCCCCTCCCAGCCCACTCATGCTTCTCTCCTCCATCTTCAAAGCATACCTGGACATTCTTATGCCCCCCCCTTTTAAGGACACTTGAGCCCACCTGGGTTATCCAGGACAATCTATTTTTATTTTTTTTCCAGTTTGAAACCATATTTTATTTTTAACATAACTAGAAATATCCAATAACTATATATTTTTAAGCAGAAAACTTTCTTTTCCTTCTTATAGCATCATTAGCAGAAAAAAAGAACATTTCTGGTTTTTAGAAATTATACTGGGTCTCTAAGAAAATGAAGACTATCTGTTGTATTGTGGAACTTAAAGTCTAAAAGCACAGGACACGTTTTCAGAAGAGTAATTTACTTTTACCCATTTATATTCGTAATATTCTAGTATAGTTAGGTCATGTATAATTAAGACAATCAAATCAGGAATCCAAGAAGAAACTGTTCTTCTTGAGTTAAGCACAGCACACATGAGATTTTGAGAACATACATGAACAACAACAACAAAAAAAGAACACCGGCAAGCCCAAATCCAAGTATAAATGGTGTTTTTTTCCCAAGGGTTTTAAAAGCATGCTCCATTAGCATACAACTTTTTCTCATTTTTGTAACAGATGCAGTTCTGTTTACTCATGTACAGTAAAGGGTTAGAACCTGTATAAATATATTAGAAATGTACTACTTTATAAGTGTACTCCAAGGAATTTATCATTTCCTTTATCTTTGCAGGGACAAAAGGGAAAAAGAGGTGGGGGTATGGTTGCAGTATTTAAGGAAGAGCTGAATACAATAATGAATCTTCATGGTGCCAAGAACTCCGTAATGAATAACCAGGCTCTCATCTATTTTATAATTCATGTTAGATCAAGCAGTTAATTCCTTGTATGGTTACCAATAACTCAAACCATATACTCTTCAAAATACAAAGATCAATAGGTACTTCCTAAATAGAACACCAAACACTAAAAGGAATCCTTCCTTCCAATGTTTTTTGACATCACAAGATTTTGCTAGAGTGGAAGTCTAATAACATTTAAATAAGCAATCTCATGGCTAAGAAAGAACTACAGCTCTTATGGGTATTATTCCACAGCTAGGATATGTATTACATATTAAATCAACCCCAGCATTAAATATGCTTTGCACAATTATGGTATGATAGCAGTGATGATGCTAGTGAGAAAAGAGTATCTTTAGTTCAAGAAGGAGGGAAATACAAGAAGCAGAAAGCAGACATAGTTGATCATTTTCTGATGAGGAAAGGTAAATTTTAAACATAGAATATAAAAAGAAAACTACTCCCTTATTTCTCCATGGTGGAAATAATATGAAGCATTTATTTGATATATTGAACAAAAACAGAGCTAAGTAATCCAACTCCATTGCAGCATAACTAAAAAAAAAGAAAAAATCACCTCTTCAACACAGTGTAAGATTTAAATGCAACCTGCATAAGGGCACATGTCATATAAAATAGTAAGACTGCTGCTGCCTTACCAAGTACTTCCAGTCCCTACCCAGGTTAGAGTGAAATACTGGTGGTCCCAATAGTTTTATTGAAATTAATCATTTAAAAAATATTTTTAAATGACAAATCAAAATGCCTCAGTCTCAGTAACCATATATTCAACTGAAACTTTTATCTATGTAAATGAGATTTATTTACTTCCCACTAGTAAGCCTTTATTTCACTCACATTACAGCTATGTATTTTCCATACTTAGTATCTGCCTTGCCCAATATCAAAGAAAAAAATCCAGAATGATTAGTAAATAAAAATGTAGGAAATAACACCCCCTTGAGTTTTAAATATTTTTAAGGTTTAAAAAGTGTTTTAAGCTTGTAATTCCTAGTAGGAAAACATTATCTGAATGAACACCCTAATGGCAAACCATTGTAAAATGCTTCAACTGGATTTGCTGCAGAGGGGTAGGGATTATCTTCAAAGCACCCCAGCTCTCCTGATGAGGTCAGAGGTGCACTGGTTTGTATTATTGCGACAGCCATTAAGTGATCTAGGTTGCTTTTCCTTCAGTAAGGGTTTTGTCAGGTGGGCACTATGCTTGACCTCCAAATTTGGCTGACAATTTACTGATGAGATTCATAACCTTTGGGTTGCTTTGATATTTTGACATATTTGCTGGGTTCTGGGCCACATCCTGGAAGGCCACCATAACTTCTGGATCCCGCATGGCTGCAAGAACCTCCGGATCACTAAGAATTTCATCGAGCCCAGGCATTCCTGCCATTCCAGGCATGCCCCCTCCCATTCCAGGCCTTCCTCCAGGAAAGCCACCTGGAAAAGAGCCAAACTGAGCTCCTGCTTGTCCTCTGGCTTCTTCCTCCCTCTGGGCTCTCTCATGTTCTTCTCGAGCCTTCTTAACTCTTTCTGTTCTTTCTTTGATCTCTCGCTCTTCACGTTTTCGCTCATATTTTCTCCGATGTTCAGCAATTTTCTGGGCCCGTGGTTGAACTTCTTTCAGCATTGCACTAGCATCATCATCATCATCCAGTTTACAGGCAAGAGCAAGATCATGGGCTGCTTCTTCCCAGTGGCCCAAAAGTCTGTGGGCTTTCCCTCGCCACTTGTAAGGCTGAGCTGAATCAGGATTTATTTCAATGGCTCTGTCACAGTCTCGAATGGCAGCATTTGGCTTCTGTAATTTGATGAAGACACTGGCTCTCCTGGCATACAGAATGGCCAAGCGAGGATTTAGCTTGATAGCATCTGTGAACAAGTCAATGGCTTTCTGTAGTTCACCATCATTCAGGGCTTCGACGGCAGCCCCTTTCTTTTCATTTGCTTGATCCACCATCTCCGCGGTTAGCTCCGCATTTTCACCTCCCATTTCTTGAGGAGCATCATCAGTGTCTGGTTCAATTCCACCTTCATTATCAATTTCTAGATCACTTTCCTCACTTGATGGCTCATCTCTCTTAACGTTTTCTTCCGACTTCTTGCTATCTGTTTTTTCTTCCTTGGTATTTTCTTCTGATTTAGGTTTATGAGTAGCAGGTGGTACTTGACCCCCGATGCTCTCCACCCACTCTCTCAGGAAGCGCATCTCCTTGGTGTGCAGGACGCTGCTTACACATTTTCACGAAGGCCTGAAGCTCGCTCACTTGGCGGGGATCCAGGGTCGAAGAGGCAGGCGGAGGCGGCTGCGGCCGGTTGCCAGGCCCGGGGCGCTGGCTCAGCGTGACCGCGCAGAAGGGGCGACAATCTATTTTTAAATCGGGATTAGCAACCATAATTCTATCTGCAACCTCACTTCCTCTTTCCCAGATAACCTAACATATTCTTAGGACCAAGGGATTAGGATGTGAGCATTTTTGAGGGGCCATTACGTTGCCTTCCACAGACCACAGCAATTATATAACCTCCAAGGTCTGTTTCTTTTCCTTTTTTTTTTTTCCAATACTGAAGATGGATTCCAGGGCCCTCACACATGCTAGGCAAGCCCTCTACCACCAAGCTACATCCCTAACTCTTTTCATTGTATTTTGCGACAGGGTCTTGCAGAATTGCACATGCTGGTCTTGAACTTGTGATCCTCCAGCAGCAACCTCTCAAGTAGCTGAAATTATAGGCATGTGCCATTGCACCTGGCCGTCTTTTTCTTTATACATCCTACAATGGTTGTAGTGCGGGTTAAAAATGATGACTCTATTAGTTACCTCTTGCTATGTAAAAAATAACCTCCAAATTTATTAGTCTAAGCCAATTTCATTTCATACCCTTTCCAAGGATCAGAAATTAGCTAAGCACAATGGCGCACACCTGTAATCCCAGCAGCTCGGGAGGCTGAGGCAGGAGGATTTTGAGTTCAAAGCCAGCCTCAGCAAAAGCGAGGTGCTAAGCAACTTAATGAGACCCTGTTTCTAAATAAAATACTAAATAATAGGGCTGGGGATATGGCTCATTGGTTGAGTGCCCCTGAGAGTTCAGTCCTCAATACACACACACACACACACACACACACACCAAAAAACCAAAAGGAAGGAAGGAAGGAAGGAGGGAAGGAAAGTTAAGAGAGTGGCTCAACTGAGTGATTCTAGCTCAGGTCTTTCACAAGCTGCAGACAAGATATAAGCCAATCCCAGTTATTAAAAGATTGAACAGAGCTGAAAGCTCCATCAATGACTGATGGCAGGAAACCTCTGCTTCTTGCCCTATGGCTTGCTCTCCTTTGGGCTACACGAGTATCCTCACAATATGGCAGCTGGCATTCCCCAGTGATCTAAAAGAGTAGAATGCAAGCCACAATATATTTTGTTTTACCTAGCCAAGTACCTCTGTATAATTTAAGATAATTAAATAATTTTCAAAATTATAAAATTTATCTATAACCTGACTTAGTTTGGTCTAGCTCAGCAGTGTCCACACATTATCAGCAGAATCCCTTCATCAAGTTAAATGTCTCAGGTAGCCCAATATGACTTCCAAATACAAGGGCAATGGCTCAAATGGGAGCAAAGCCTGGGGACCATCTCAGGTGTGTCTCTCACTCCTCAGCTTACAAACTTCTGGGTCAGTCTTTCATCCAAGCAGGACCTTTTCTGACTTTCCAAAACTGGAAATAATTGTTTTTATGAAATTCAAAATGGCAAGAGGACTCCTGTCTTCTCAAACATTTTTCTTCTTGAAGTCCTTTATTTTGAAAATATTTTATTAAAATTTTTTAATCAGTAAAAGATGGAAAGAAGAATTACTCATTCAATTAAATGTAAATTCCCAGCCCAATCTCATTTTGACCTTAAAACCCAGAAGTCTTTGCAATCCAAAAACCTAAAACAATTGGGGGCTGGTCCTAGGTGCTCCTCTTCCCACACTTCTCTCTCTTCCCTCCCTAAGTCTCTTTCCCCAGTCTTAAGTCAATATTAATTTCCAGAAACCAGTGTGTGATGGAGAGTCAGCCCCACTGCCTGCCTCAGGGAGTCAAGGTACTATGGCCTGGCAGGCATCTAAGAATAGCAGCCAGTTGGGCCTGGGTCTAAATCCCAGACCCACCACTCACTAGCTGCCTGAATTTGGACAAGTTACTTAACCAGGCTGAGCCTCCATTTTGATGTCTATAACTTGGGAAGGCTGCTATCTCCATTTCTGGGTTGTAAAAAGATGAGATGCAATACACCAACACACAGGAGGACCCCCACAGAAATAAGGGCGATTATTTGACACAAACGAGAACCTGTTAAATGTTCCTGGATTTCCGCTCAGCCCTTCCCAAGGGCTGATTAATTTGGTGTGTGACTACCCAAGTTTTATTTCCCAGCCTCTCTTGCAGCTGGGTTGGTCACGTGGCATATGAATGGAAACAACGCTCCTAATTCCAAGTCACTCCCAGGACAGAAGGCTGCCTCCCCCCACTCCCTGATGTCTGCTTTCTCATCCTTCTGCTAGCTGGGAGCTGAGGGGTCTCCTCCCTCTCTCTCTCTCTTTCTCTCTCTCTCTCTCTCTCTCTCTCCCTCCTTCCCTCCCTCCCTCTGCCGTGATGTGGCTTAGTGTGCCAGGGGCTGATGTCAGACTTCGGAGAACTTTGTCCAAATGCAGTTGAACTGACCATGAGCAGCAGAGTACCACCCACAGGCCGACTTTGGGCTACCTTTGCCCATCAGAGGTAACAGAGCAGTTCAAGGCAATGTTTGAGGAGTCTCTATTCCTTTCTGATCTGGTTTTCCCAATTTTGGACTCTGATAAAAGCTGGTTTAGAAGGCAAAGATGAAGGCATGTGTAGGGCTCCTGCCTCCCCACAGTAGTCCCAATTTGAGACCCCCATGCTCAGCTCAGCCTGCAGAAAGGACAACACCTGTCTGGTGGGGCTGCCATCCTGGGTGAAAGCCCACCCTCACTTTTCACTAGGGGACGCAGCTCCAGAGTCTGGGGTTTTGGGGTTTTCAGTTCACAGGTTTACAGTTGACCAACTGATTTATTAGTCTTATTTGTATGTTTTTTAAAAAAAAATATTTTAGAACTTAACAAAGCTCATTTTCTTAGAAATTAACAAAGGGACAATTTCCCCCACCATTGGAGTTCCAGTCTCAGCCGTTGTCCCAGGTCCCTCTATCCCACCTCCCCAAGCTCCCTCTGCTCACCCCATGTGCTGGGCAGCTAAGGAATTTTTGCTTTTTGTTTTGTTTTGCTGAAAATATTGGCTGACATTTTGACCAGACTCTAGTACCCACAGAAGACAAGAAATGAAAGGACCCAAATGTCCTGCAACCCCATGGGTTTATAATAAATAGTACAGGACCCTGGTTCCCAGATCATCCAGAGAGGAGCCAGGCTGGGTGCAACCAGACCTGTCTGCCAGGCTGCAGCCACCCAGAATGGCCACTCTGTTCCTCAAGTGCCTTCCATAAGTTCCAGGTACAGAAAGTACACCGTTTTAAACACCACAGGTGCACAAAAATCCGTTTTACTTGAAGGCTTGAGCAATAAAAGGTCTATCCACGGGATAAAAGGATGTACCTTTTAAAACTACACACATACAGAATGATGGAGAAATTAAACAGAGTTCGCGTTACACTAGCATCCAACAGCAACTCCCCTATGTTGGAAGATTTCCAAGGAACAAGGGGGCGGAGGCCCTTGACCATGACAGGAAGAGGTAAGGCGCAGGGGTATTGTGACATGCTCAGCTTTTCCCTTGGCCAACCGAGGTCCAAGCCCATTGGGGGCAGGGGAGCCGCCGGACCAACATGGAGCAGCGGCCCAGGGCGCAGCCTTCCGTGGCCCGGGAGAGCTCTGAGGCGCAGCAGGAGATTCTAGCCCAGTCTATCCAGGGCCGCGGCCGGGTGCTGTTGGTAAGAGAGCTCTGGAAGCAGGACGATTGCTGCAAGGATCTGCAGAACTTTCCAGAGCAGGCCTCAACCCATCAGCTCACCAGGTCCTCGTCCACACGAGCCACCATAGGCCACAGCACCTCCAGTAACTGCACCAGGAGGGGACTTAAGCGCTCCGGCGACAGCTCTACGGATAACTCCGAGAACAACGCCGACTACCCGGCCGCAAAGTCCAAGCGCTCCGCGGAGAAGGCGGGGAGAAGCCGGTGCAAGTACGCCGACCCACGCGAGCCCGAGACGCCTGGGACCAGTCCTAGGACCCCCGGCCCCGCGGCTGCGGAGAACCCGGCCACGAGCTGCCGGTCGGTGGGGCAGCCCCGGACAGCGCCGGAGCAGGGCGCGCAGCTGCTCCTGGTGCTGTGCCGCGCGTCGGCGCTGTGCTCGCAGCTTCCGCGGCTGCAGCTGGTCCTGGAGCAGGTGCGCGCCCGGGACTGCCGCCCACCCGCCGCGCTCATCGGGATCCTGGTACAGCCGCAGCCGGACGAGGAGGCGGAGGCGCGCTGCCTCCTGGAGAACCTGCTCTGCGGCATCTTCGCGCAGCACAACCCCGCCGTCGAGGTGCACACGGCAGTGTTCTGCCCCGGCCGCCCCCAGGGCGTCCTGGACGTCCAGCGCGCCGCCAGCCAAATGCGCAAGGTTCCCTTAGCGGATCGGGGGACGCAGATGGATGGTGAGGGGCCGGAGGGCTGGGCTGGGAACATCCGGTTGCCGCGGGTGCAGGGATGGAGGGCTGGGGCGCTCAAATACAGAGTTCGGTCCCCTGACCCTGGTGCCCCGCTGAGTTTGGACAAACCCCGACTTCACAGCTCTTCTTATGGAGCCTCTAGCAATTTTGGGTACGGTTTTGAGTGATGAACCAAAGTTCTTACCCCCAGGTGTACTCGCTGAGGCAATCTAAAAGCGTTTGAATTAATTTAGTGGGCTACACTGGCCCTTCCCACAGCTTGGGGCATCGTTTCCCACTACTGGCAGTTACGGTTTTGTACGGTTCACAGTGGGGATTTGTAGGACCGACAGCCCTCCTTTCCTCTCCACAAGCACTGATTGCTTCCTCTGTTCTTTGATGGGGTTCTTTAGTCTCCTCCTCCGTGGAATAACAATTACAATAAAAACAAGCCTATTCGAGAGCTTGGCACTTCCAATCCTCACAGCCTCCCTCCAGGATGGAACTCCAGTGCTAGCTGACCGTCTTCCTGGCAACCCTCCAGACCTTTCTGAGCAAGGGAGCTGGGCCTGAGGACCTTAGTTAGTGGACTCTTTAGGGAAGCAGAAGGGATTAGGGAAGCTCTCTGGGTAGGGTGGCTGCCTTCTCTGTGGAAGGTTCCCCTCCTATGTGACATGTGAGTGTGATAGGCCAGTTGTTTTCTGAGATGTCATCTAGCCTGAAGAGTTTCAGGACAAATGGTGGCATGTTTTGCCTGAGAGCCCAGGACACATCCAAGAGTCCTTCTGGGTGGGTGGGATTTTAACAACCTCAGTTCTTACCCTGACACCTAACTTCACATCCGCTTAGACTCGTTCCTCTCACTCCCTTTAAGTTTAGTCTAGGAGAGTCTCACATGGCCCCCACTCGTGGTTGGGAAAGCCCCTACCTATTGGCTCTCCCAACTGTGATCCTCGGCAAAGGTCAGAAATACCTGGTCTGTCTTTGGAAATAGCCCGTCGTGATGAAAGTCTTTCAGGCTCCTTGTCCTCATTTCCCACCCTTCCTTCAGCTGGTCCCCATCCCTGTCCTCTACCTTCCCCCTAGTTCAATTTAAGCAGCTTGCATTGAGCCCCTGCTGGCTTTGACCCTCCTTGATCTCCACAATCAGGGGTTGGGGAACAAGAAAGGAGACAAGGCAAGACAATAATCCTAATCCATGCAGGATGTGACGCCCAAACAGGTACTCTGGGGCTCAGAGAAGAACCCATGGCTTTCTGCTGGGGATCTCAAGAAAGGTTTTATGAAGAGCTGGATCCCCTTGAGGGGATCCCCTTGGCCACGGAAAGTATGACAGGGATGGGAGGAGGTGGTGGAGGGAAAGTACTTCTACAAATGTGGGAAAGTTAGGCATGTTCACGAGACCTCCTCCCAGCTGGCTAGAGTTGGACAGAGGCAGCAGCATGGTGGCACCAGGCGTGGGACAGTAGGCTGTGGCCATATTATAGAGGAGCCAGGCTCCCAGGCAGGGAATGTGTGCTCAGGCAGAGACAGTGTCCTGGCCAGGACCCATTGCTGTGCTATTCTTGTGCATTCTTCTGGAACAGCTCTCATCCTATGACTGCCTCTCCCTGCTTCTGGGGACCACCGTAGTAAAGAACCCACACATTTTTTTCTCCATAGCCATAGACACACTCCTTAGCTTGCCCTTTGTGTTTCCTCCATCTCCCTCCTGGGAACAGAGACGTGTGTCCTGTTTGACTCCTTTGGATGAAATGGAGTATCTCCTTCACGGCTACCGGAAAATTCTCCCTGTGTATATCTACCCCCATCTGACTCATTTAAACTAATGGTTCTCAACCAGGGACAATGTTGACACTCCCGCCTACTGGTAGGGACATTTATCAATGTCTGGAGACATTTTGGGTTGTCATGGGCAAAGGGAGGTGCTAGTGGGTCAAGACCAGAGATGCTGTTAAACTTCCTGCAATGCTCAGGAAAGCCTCCCACACAAGGAATTATTCAGCCCAAAATGTCAGTAAAGCCGAGTTGAGAAACCCTGATTTCAACTGGGTGGAGGCCCACAATCCAAGCCCACTGGTGCCTGAAAATCCAATTTTGCAGAATTAAATCCCTTGGGATTTCCTGACCTGTATGCTAAATCCCAGTGGGGTCCCCGGGCTAGGTCCCCAACCTCTCTGGTTCTAAATGGAATCCCCTAAAGAGAACTAGTGCTTCTGACTTCAGGGAATCACTACTGTCTTGTGGATTCCCCTGCTCCCTCCTTACTCCAGCGTCAACCAAATACAACAAACACCATTGATCTGAGCTTCCCTCCACTCCTCATGATTCATGCTTGTGTTTGGTTTCTTCAGTCTTCTCATTCAAGGAATTTGCAAATGTTTTTAGTTTTTTAATTCGTTGATTTTAAAGCTTATGTAATTATCTGATTCCATATTGCCTTCTTGGGTCATGAAAAGACAGAACCCTGAACTAAAATTGACCCTGTCCATGCCTCCAATTAACCTTCAAAAGTAATTTAACTTCTCTAAACATCAATGTCTTCTTCTTCAAAAAGATAACCATTAAAGTCTTTGCAGGCTCTGGAAGCCCTAGAACAGGTTCTGAAGTTTCACAGTTGGCTTGGCTCTGGCCTTGGACCCCTTTGAATCCTTTGTATCTAACTAGCTCTGAGCAAACCTTGTGGTGGGCACGAGCATCCTCCCCTGGGGGGCTACAGGCTGGGGTAGGCCTGATTTTCTCACCTGTGGATCGATGGGTCCTGCGGCAAGTTCTATCTCCTCTGTGAACATGACTCACGTTGCAAAGTGTGAAACTGAGCTTGTCGATTCAAAATGCTTTTCCCTCTTCTGTCCTAAAATGAAAATCACGTTAATGTAGATGAAGATCATAGTCTGTTGACCCAACCAATGCGGGTTTGGGAATAACCCCTCAGGTTTTGCCATTGTAATGAGTTTGAGAAAAATGTTTGTGTTCTGAGCAGCAGATATGTTTTAAGGGAGAATTTTTCAAAAATTCAAAGCTTCTTTTAAAAGTTGGAACAGCTCACAAGCTCCCGTCCCACAGTGGAGGAGAGCAGGCTTTGGAGGCTGGGGAAGCTAATCAGAAATGATAGAGGCTGTGGGCTGTGGAAGGTCAAGTGCTCAAAGAAGCCCCAAATCTTCAGAAAAGTTACACGAAGCTTACTAAAGGCATAGTGAAGATGGATGTTTGTGTCTCTGCTTTTGTATGTGGAAATGGGTGATAAAGCTGAGTGTCCCATCAAGGGTGTCTTAGAGCGAAAGAGATAGGTCACTTGGACCAAGGAACACAGGTGATGAAGAGCCTGAGGTGGTGTTCTGGCCGCAGAATCAGGGGGTCCAGTTGTCACAGTTCCCCAGGCTAAACCAGGCCTGCAAGGGGCAGAGCAGAAGCAGCCCTCTGCCTGTCCTGGCAGCTGGGAGGAACAGGGATACCAGGTTGGTGCCTGCAGAGAAGACTGTCCCGGAATCCTGGCTGTGGGAGCCACCCTGGCTTTTGTGACCTCACAGGGGGTATAAGTGACTGTTCTCTGGGACCTGGGTTCAGTCAGAGACCAGGGCTGAACACCTAGGGCAGAGGGCAGGGGCAGACGGCCCCTCTAAGAGGGAGCCCAAAGATTAGGCAGCTCCATGTAGGTTCCAGTTTAGGTTAAGAGGAAACACCATGAAGAAGAGCAAGAAGAAAAAGTCCGAGGCCAGACCACCCAGGGACTCGTCCATCTCTCCACGGGGCAGCTCCGACTCTAGCACCTCCCAGCAGCCCAGCTCTGAGAGCATCCATCCCAGCCCCCAGTCCACAACGCAACCATCCAAGTGCACCACACAGCAACCCAGCCCTCAGAAGCAGTTGAGCCCCAAGAGCAGCCCAAAGCAATCCAAGTCCCAGGCCCTCCCAGAACCGGAAGCTCATCCATCGTCTGAATGCCTGTCGTCCCCCCACACCAACAGAAAAGCAGCTTCTTCACCTAGGAAAGGTGGGCAGACTTCTAACTTCAGCAGTTCTAGCCTTCCTGTGGATGGGGTTTCTGGGCTGGTTCTTGTAGGTAGGGGTATGTGGTGAATGTGTTCTGGAACTGTGCTTGTGGAGGGTACAAGATTTTTTTTTTAACCTAAGAGACCAAGATTCCTGAATTTTGTCATTTCTCACCATCATGAGTCTCGCTGGAGACAGTCATGCGTACATATAATTTGGCTTTAGAATAATACTAGCTCGTTAGGAGTCAGCAGTACAGTGTGAGTGCAAAAAAATTAGAGCCAAGGGTACATATAGAGAAGTCTGTGGTTTATAACAAGGGAGGTGATCATATTGATTTGCTGTCTTCATCAGGCCGTGCCTGGGAACTATAAAAGATGACTAACAAACTAGTCCAAAGAAGATAGTCCAGGTGATGGAGGGTGAGAGGAGGCAGGGGAATGAGAACCATTTGGTGTATGACAATTTATTGATGGCGTTGGAGGACGCATTTGTCAGAGGAAGATGTGAACAGTCTTTCTGTGTTGTCCCCAGAAGTCTGACTAAGGGCCGTGGAGAGGCCCAGACAATATCTGAGATTCCCAGCTAAATTTTAATTTCAACAAACAGCAGAGAATTTTTTGTATGTGTGTCCCCAAATCATGGACCTCCTGTTACATTTTTATTTGCTAAAATGGCAACATTACCCATGGGAGACGCTAGAGGCAGACAGATTTCTGCTCAAGGTAAAAAATACTTTGCAACAGTGAGTGGCTGTCTAGGAAGAGTGCTCCTGACTTCTCGCCTAGTCACAAAGAGTCTGAGCAAGCGTGGGTATGTAGAGGACGTTCAGTGGCATTCAGGAAGCGGGCTGTCTTGTACGACGAACGCGATGGCGCTGGCTAACTGCATTGATATCGCACTCAGCGCAAGCCCAGCATCAGCTTGATCTAGGTTTGTCGGCTCACCCAACAGCCCTAGAAGGAGGCACTACCTCGTGGCCATTCTCTATACATAAGGAAACTCGTAGGAATCAAACTCGCTCTGGAGCAGGCGCTTGTAACAGTGAGAGGGAAACTTGTTCTCTTCTCCAGAATCCTCATTCGTAACCACAGCTCCACCTTTCAATTCCAGGAGGCCTTGTGGTCTCCCCAGGAGGAAGAACACCCTTCTCCAGGCTTCTCCTGCACCTGCCGTGAGCCAGTGTCATTACCATGACCTTCAGCCACAGTTCATTCTTCTGGGAGGGTAGCAAATGAGAGATGCAAGTGAGGGTGCTAAATCCAAGAAGTTACTGTGACAACAAGACTCCTATAGCTTAGAGTCCATCCTTGACATATGGCAATGGTCTTGAGTGCTCTACTGCATATTGTGTGTATTGTGAGCATCAACTCTGGACGCAAACATTTCTGGATTATGACCTTCAGAGCTGGTGTCTGTAGAAAGTAAAACGTTTTTGTTGTTTTGTTTTTTTGGCAATACTGGAGCTTAACCAGAGCCTTTGCACATGCTAGGCACATGTTCTATACTGAGCTACACACCAGTCCTGGTCTACTTTTCTAAATGATCAGTCTGTGTGGAATACCCCAGAACTCTCACTTTTCATTCCTAAATCTTTTAATGAGTGCCTATAACTCACCCCAGGAGGGAATTCAGCTTACTGAGGAGGCAAAGCAAGACATATTGGTAGCTCACTAATGATTATAGCAGACACTCTACACCTTTCTTCCAAAGGAATTTCCCCCTTTTGAGTCCAAGTGGGAAGAAGTGTTGGAGATAGGGGATGGAAGTCTTTAAATAAAGGAAGTCAATTTCTAAAGCCAAGCCTTTCTATAGGCAAAATAGTGTAGCTCAAGAATGTGAGAGTCCTCCAGTAGCGTGACTGTCATCAAAAAGAGGGACAATAGTGAGCAAGCGAGGTTGAGGATCTGGAAAAATCGGAATTCTCACACGTGGGGCAGGGGGTCGGGGGACAGGGATTGTCAATGGTGCCACTGCTGTAGAACTGTCTGGCAGTTCCCCAGAGGAATGTGAAGGAGCCATATGATCCCACTCCTGGGTGTACGTCCAAGGATTAAGAACACATCCTCCACACAGAAGCTTACACATGGGTGTTCAGGGCATCAATATTTATAATAATCAACAAGTGGAGACAATCCAAGTGTCCGTCATCCAAAGGAGGATAAACAAGATGTGGTCTGAAATAACCACAATATAATATTGTGGAATATTCTTCAGCCAAAAAAAAAGGCACTCTGTTCTCATGCATGCCACAACGTGGATGAAACTTGGGCTAAGTGGAAGAAACAGATCCCCCCGACACACAGACACACACACACATTGTCGGATTCCATTTACATGAAATGCCCAGAATGGGCAAATTATTCTCAAAAACTTGAGGGGACTAGCAAATGAGGAATGATGTCGTGTGGGGTATGTTTTCTTTTTCAGGAAATGAAAATGTTCTAAAATTAAATAATGGTGATGGTCCTACAACTTAATGCCAAAAACCACTGAACACTCTTAAAAGGCTAAATTGTGTGGTCTTGGAAATACATCTCAATTTAAAACTTTTTTTAAAGGATAAGTCTTGCCTTTAGAATCCATGCCTTCCCCACTTCAGGAAAAGTATGTGATGAGTTTGGTCTAAGCTGGAAAGATGCTGCGTTTTCTGGTTGACCAGTGTGGCTACACAGACCTGGAAGAATCCCTAATCCTGCAAAATAGCGAGGAGAGGAAAAGGCCTCAAGTCCTCTCACCCAACAGCAGAGGGCGCCAACTCCGAGTTCTGCTGGTTGCCATCCCAGAAGACAGAATTTGGGAGATTTCCTTGAGGAAAGAATTTCCAGGACCATAAACCAAAGCAGGGGTTGTCTTAGGGAAGAATCAGTAGCCCCCAGATAAATGGAGCACAGTACCTCCGATTCCAGGAGTCTCCGTGCAGCCTCATGGAGGGCTCAGTCACCTGCTGTGTCATTTTTGTCAGTGCCTTGGCAATAGTTTTTGCTGACTTTAAAAGTTAGAAATTCCCTCCATCCCCAGTGCTGCAAAAAAAAGAAGAAGAAGAAGAAAAGAAAACCAGTTATCCACCTTGAGTCAAAGTTTTGTTCTACGATCTACTTGCTATAGTAGCACATCCTTATATCCTTTGAGCCTCAGTTTCCTTATTTATAAAATGATACTAACAAGATGCCACTTCACAGGATGTTTGTGACAGTTAACTGAGATGACCAGTGAGGGGAAGGTATAGCACACCGTACAGGTGTAAGCAGCGGCATTGTCAGTATTTTATTTTTCCCAGGTAGACGGCTCTGGAACCCAGACATTCTCCCACGTAGCTAGTCTCCCCTCCTGCTTGGGAAGGGCTTGTGCTGTGGGAGGGCTGCTTTCCTTGGGAGGTTCAGTCCCACATCCTTGAGGATGCCTTGGAAAGCTCTCGGGTTTCCCTGGGAACCCTGCCATGGCCACGAACGAACAGCGTGTCTGTTGTGGGCCTTCTAGAACTGTACTCCAGGTTCTCCCCCGGCCTTCCCAGGGCAGGTGCATCCCTCATCTCTCTCCTTCTCTGTCCACCAGGGACTCAGACCCAGGTGGGCACTCAGACCTGCTCCTGTGCCGTATGTCCGGGCAGCTTTGCTTGCTGGCGTCGTCTGGGGCTGTGCCACAGACGCATCTTCGATGTCCTTCTGCCTCAGCACTGCCAGGCCATGTCAGGGAGAGGACTCCCAAACCACCTCACCTTCTACAGGTTCCCGAGCGCGTGCGCGGCTAGAGCCTGGGAAACCCTTCCCAGAGCCAGGTTCTGTCCCTTGTTAGCAATCACCTGCGACATCTGGAATTATGGGCCAGAAGGAACGTCCCGCCTTCCACTTGCCTTCTCTTGGGCTTTGGGAGGCAGGGGCCCTTTCTGACCAGGCCTGTTCCCTGGGATACCCACCCATCTGCACAGAGAGGTACCATTGCCTTCCTTCTGGAAACTGCTCCAAAGTCATCTCACTCTTCTCTTCTCCATAGAAGCCCTGCCTTCCTCAGAGCACAATCCCTCCCAGCCCTTCATAACGTCCACGCCCTACAGGAGCTTTGTGAATAAACGCTCTGGGTGGCCTTTTACCACCTTCCAGGCCTTCACCATAGACGGGCCTTCAGTTTCTTGTCCTGCACAGGAGTTTCCTCTGGAATTTAGTGATAAAAACTGACTGTGACTCATAATCTCCTCCAGGTGATCACAGGACCCCAACCCCTTCAGAGCATGTCAGGTGATTTCGGGGACGGCAAGGGTCATGTGGGCCCAGGCTGGTCTGCCAATGGCCACGCCCCACAGCCTCACCCACAGTCTCTGCCCCGCTTTTCCTCTTCCGCAAACCCACCAAAAGAAATGTCCTGGCTGCTATTGCCCCTCAAAAGAAGTCCCCTGTTCATGTCAGGAACAGGCTGAAGATGCCCACCCCCACATTCTCCCAGTGCTGCCCGGTCATTTGCTTGGGTTGGAAGAGGGATGTCCACCCACACCCAGCTCTGGGTCCCTCTTGAGCAGCCCCATCTGTACTCCACTGAGCAGGCCCTTCTCCTGGGAATTTCAACCCCCTCACCCAGGAGCAGGACCCCATCCTCCGCCCTCATCCCCCTCCTCCTTTCAGCACCCCCCCAACCCAGTCCTTCCTCTGTTTATGGATGAGAAACACCATCTCCAACCTAAGAGAAGCTAAGAGATACCAGGGTGTCTGGTGCCTGCATCCAGAAATACTTCACCGCCTAGTGAGCCCCATCCAGGAAGGACCCGCCCACCTCTCACCATGCCCAGTTCCTCCCACGCCTGGTGTGCCCATCCCTGTGCAGCCAGATGGTGCCATGAGTCCTCATGGGGTCAAAAACCAACCAGTGGTACTGAGGGGAACCAGAACATTTCCCTTAAAATGTGTGCAGCTTGCCTGGTGAGCTGACAGTACACGATTAGAAATGAGGACGCGAGGTAAGAAGTGCTGTGCCCAGCAGAGGTTCCAGGAGTGTCAGAACAAGAGAGTACGTGAGTCTACACTGGGGGCCAGTGTAGGTCATAGTGTCCCCAGTACGTGAGCTGAGTCTAAAAGGATCTCGGGATGCTCCACTGCTTAAAATAAAAAGGGGAGAACATTCCAAATTCAGGAAAAGGCAAACAGAAGGCTCACCATTAAGAAAGGAAGGGGAAGGGGCAGGGCTAGTCTGGCCAGGGTCAGCTGCGTAGCCTTAGTTCTGTCCACATGTGAGCAGCTGCTTCCATACTCTGCATTGCCACTGAAGAGTAACGTTGGCTTTGGCTTAAAATACACAGCCACAGCCGGGTGCAGTGGCACATGCCTGTCATCCCAGAGACTTGGTGGCCTAGGCAGGAGGATCACAAGTTCAAGGCCAGCCTCAGCCACTTAGCAAGACCCTGTCTCAAAATGAAAAATAAAAGGAGTGGGTTTGTAGCTCAGTGGTAAAGTGCCCCTGGGTTCAATCCCCAGAACCGGGGGAAAAAATACACATTCACATGAGATAAGAATCCCCATTTTGTAAGATTTTTATCAATTTTATCAATATCTATTTTATCAAAATAGATATTGCATTCTTAAAATGCCTGCCTTGCAGTGACTAGAGGAAGTGTGGATTTTCCTTACCTCCGTAGTGGGAGGTTCCTCATCTCTAAAATGAATAAAATGATAGGACCTACCTCATAGGATTGTTGTGAGGCTTGAAGATGACATTGGGTGTGAGATGTCTAGCACAGGGCCTGGCACACTGGGCCTCAACCGCCCTCGTCACCTGCTCCCCTCCTGGACAGCTGTTGTCCCAGACCAGTTTATCCTTGGGTCCCAGGGGTCTCGCAATAGGGTGTCTTGGAGAAGGGGTGGGGGGAATAAGCGTTCTTTTAAGAGAAGATCAAGAGGGTCCCCATATATTTGTGATGGGTAATCAGTCCACCCATCCTCAGGGAAGGAACCCCATTGTGGCCGTTTCCTCCTGCTGCAGACACTGGGAAGCCCTCTTCCCAAACCCCCACTACCTGCTTTGCTTTCCAGATCTTCAAGAAAACGCTCATCTCGGCATAACTCCTGAGCTCCAAGCCCTTGGGTCTGTTGCTGTGGCTCTGGGGGCCCTGGGAGCTGCCTACTACATCATTGAATCCCTGTGAACAAGCCCCCAGCCCAAGGTCCGGCAGGTATGAAGAGCCCCTGTCCCTTCTGTGAATGGACGTGTCTGCAGGTGGACATGTCCCCCATCTCTCAGGGAAAGCTTGAGAGTGAGTGACTCATTTCTGGCCTCAGGGTGAGCTGGCATGGCTCTCAGGAAGCCCTGGATGCCCTCAGATCATGACAAGACATTGTTAAGATCATCAAAACAACCGGGCATGGTGGTGCATGCCTGTGGTCCCAGCAGTTTGGGAGACTAGGGCAAAAGGAGACTGAGGCGACTATATTGCAGGATCCTCTGGGGCCGGGAGCATGCCTTCCACAGCCACTGTCCGCCCATCCTCCCCTGTCTCGGAGGGCTCCCTAGGAGCAGAGCCTGAGACGAGGACTGGGGTGAAGGTTACTTGCTGCCAGGAGAGGGCAGTTGAGGGGGCCAGAAAGGGCAGAGAAGGTGCTGAGCACGGAGAGGTGAGGCCCCAGCCAGACCCAGGCAGCACCGACCAGGAACTACACCACAGAGCTGCACCTCTGGTGCCCCTGCGTCCATCAGTCTAGAGGGCAGGAGGTCAGGAGGGTGTCTTTTGTGGAAAAGGCAGCTCCCTTTTGGCTGAGGGCAATCCCTGGAAAAGGGGGCAGCTCTGAGCCATTAACAGCCAAAATTCACAATTCTCAGCTCCAGAGGCACCAGCCCAGAAAAGGGGCTGGGTGAGGCACCAAGAGCATCCACAGTGATGCCCGTGGCCAGATTCATGGGAGGTGACAGTGCAGGGATCATGAGAGGCATTTCAGCCCACCCCCAGGCTTCCACTGCTCACAGAGTGGACAGGTAATGGCCATAGTCATGCATGATGTTGGGAGTATATGCTCAAGATATCTCAAAGCCAAGGAGGTAAAGCCCAGTGGGAGCTCAGCACCCTCTCAAGGGAGGGCTCTCAAGGGCTCCTGCTACCAGTCCCAGGGACATTCATGGAATAGTATTAGAAGCACCTTAAGCTTTAGGAAATACCACAGCAGTTAAGAGTCTGTTTCCTCATCAGTAGGTAGGGAGAGCATCGGTGCCCTCTTCTTGAGTTTGTTGGAAGGGATATAGTGCTGAGGCACAGAACTGGGGGCTGGAGGGTCTTGTACTGCTGCCAACACGGTGGTTAGAAACGTGCTGACTTTGAAGTTGGAGCTGGGAGCCTCCCATTTTGCCTGCATTGCCTGAAAGCTGGGTGTCAGGGGCATGTTCTTAACCCTCTGACAGTCAGTGTCATCCCTTGTGGGGAGAATAACTGCCCTCTTCCTCTAAGGCGATGTGTGAGGGTTCACTGGGGGAAGTACCTGGGCCAGGGCTGTTGCCCGGGGTAGTAGGTTAGTGGCACTGGCCTTGGTGACAAAGTCCACCAGTATTCCTGCAGACTGAATCCAGTCTTCACTACAACCCCCAACTGTATGCGTGTTGTGGGGTTCAGGTATTCAGGTATGCTGGGGGCTTGGATTGGGAGGTCATTGCTGTTGTCACTCTTGAACCCAAGAGTTTAACCTGTGTAGTGTCTCAGTTTCACACAGCCCTGCCTCTTCTGCCCCCAGCAGTGACACCTCTTTCTCCTTAGGTCAGTTCTCATTAGCCCAGGGGTGGCCACAGGTCCTTGCCTGGATTCAGGGTTAGAGTGTGGCTTTCTGGAGGTCTGATGACATAACCCAGGGGACAGATGCTAGTGCAACTGGAGAGAAAAACTGTGCTACTAATCTGACCCCACATGAATCACATGAGACAGGGGCCTTTCCAGCATGGGTGGAGCCCATGCCTGGTGATTCCGACGATGCAGCCTTTCCCCATGTAACAGGCGGCTTTTGCCAAATTGCTGGTCCTAATGACTGCAGAGACACCAGCAATAGGTCTCAATGCTGACCAGCCTCCAGCTGCTTGAGATGTGTTTAATGGAGCTCAGCAGGCCCAGTGTCTTCCAGGGCCCCTTCTGCCAGAGTCCAGGCTGCAGGGTCAGCTCCCCTGTTATTGAGGGATGCTATGAATCTCAGGGTCGGATGAAAGCACCACAGCAAGGAGTAGCAGAGGCCTTTGAAGAGCCCAGAAGTTTGTAATTAAGAACAAAGGGATTGAATTATAGTAACTAGATTAAGCCAATCTAGATCTACCCACCCAGGCTGGGCTTGGGTTGCCTCCCCTAACCAGGCACAGGAGGAATGAGCATCCAAAACAGTATATACATAGCCGGTCACAATGGTGCATACTTGTAATCCCAGTGGCTCTGGAGGCTGAGGCAGGAGGATCACAAGTTCAAAGCCAGCCTCAGCAATTTAGGGAGGCCCTAAGCAACATAGTGAGACCCTTTTCTAAATAAAATACAAAAAAGACTGTAGATGTGGCTCAGTGGTTAAGTACTCCTGGGTTCAATCCCCAGTGCTCCTTCCCCCACAAAAAAAAAAAAAAGAGAGAGAGAGAGAAAGAAAACAAAATGGCACCTGCTGGCCAGGGAGAAATGAGGTGGGTGTTGGGGAGAGGGGGCAGCTCAAAGCTCCCACTGCCCCGGGCGAGAGGTTTGTAGCTCTGCTGCGGATGTGTCTGCAAGTGGACTGGATGGGTAGGTCTCGCTGATTTAAAGGCCCAGGAAGTGCTTTAACCAGTGAAAGTCACCCCATAGAGCATGTGGAAGGACTGGGGTGCACTGTGGGGTACCCCGAGTCTTTCTGAGCTCTGAGGCTTAGCTCTTACTCCCTACGGAAGGGAAACAGGGAGTTTGGTGTCCTCCTCTGTCCAGAGAGTTGAAGAACCATCTGATGACAGTAGCAAAGCTGCCTCCTCTTTGAGGAAAGATGCTTCTAGAATTTTCTTTCCTAAATCTTGGTGAACCTTTCGATCCACACCTTCCTCAGAGGATGGTGAAGCATTACAAACAGAGGGCTCCCTTCCCGCTCCTCCTGTGCGTCCCCGAATGTGGTGCGACTCAGCACCCTGGCCTAGCTTGTGGGGGCCCTCGAGGAAGGAGGGGGAGACAGCACATGGTGACATTGAGTCAGATCCAGTAGATGCCAGGAGCTTTGTGAAAGTGTCACAGCCTCAAGGAAGACGCCGTCTCCATGTGGCTTTTGTGGGCTGAAAGGACACGACATCATGAATGGAAGAAATTGAAATCCTGAATAACGTATTTTTCCATAAAAGGATCTTAGCTGCTCAGCCCTCACCCCTGAGAGTGTAAAACTGGAGAGGCACCAGATTCCCGCTCACAGAGAATTGTGAATCGTCTGAGCCAACGGCTCTGTCCTTATTATTATTTTTTTTTCTTACAGATCCAGTTTCCATCAAAGGATCTCACTTGTCACCAAAAAGAGCAAAAAAGAAAAAAAAAAAGGGAAAAATATTCTTGTGTCTTTACTATGTTTTATTCAGAGATACAAATGGGCAGGGAGGTAAGTGCGGGGGCCTTGGGGACTTTCTGAGCCACATGTAAACCACAGGCCCAGGTGGAGCACTTCCTCTGTGCACACACAACAGAACAAATTGTTTGAGCTGTTCCCACTCAAAAAGCAGGAATTATAAAACCTATATAACCCGCCAGCTGCACTTCCATTGGGTGGGAATCCCAGCAGTGGGCGTGGAGGAACGCACTGGCACATTTCCAGACCTTCAGGACAGAGGCCCTGGCCCCGCAGTGCGCTCTCTAGGCAATGGCTGTCCTGCGATGGGGGCAGCCCACAAGCTACCTTGTGGTTAGTCCTGGCCAGTGCCCAGGGGCTGCCACATCTAGCTCCTGAGCAGCCAGGTAGAAGTCTCAGTTCAGCATGATCCCAGCAAACACCAGTAGGAAAGGGGACGTCAACAGAGAAGGGAGAACGGTCATTCCTGGGTTTAGTGGCCACTGGGAGCAACTGAAGCTCGATCCTGCTGGGGCCACCTTGGAAGGTGGTGGACTACAATGACAAAGTAATCCAACCCCAGGAGGAAAGATGGAACCTTGGTACACCCACTGGCGGGAGACTGCTGGGAGGAAGGGGGCTAATTCCCCTGCACTTTTGTACTCTGGCAAGGAACCCCCAACCCCACCCCAGGCACAGAAGTGCAATCAAGGGAAGGTGGGGTAGAGACAGGATAAGGACAACCCTGAAGGCCATGTCCAGGGGACCTGGGCTTCTCTAAGAATTGGCCAGGGGGGCTGTTGGGACAGCCCCTTGTGGAAGCAGAGACCAGTCTGCCTGCAAAGGCATGGGCAGGGCAGGTGCAGGAACCCCAGAGCCCACCCACCACGCCCTAACCCCACGATTTCCTTTCCGAATTTGGCGCTAGCAGGTTGGGAGGGGGTACCCCTGATAGACAGCCGCCTTCTCTGAGAAGCCAGGCTCCCAAGGAAGAATGCCGAGATCCAGGAGGGTACGGTCATGTCTGTCCTTCCCAGCAGGCCGGGATGAGGAGGCCCGTAGGCATCAGAGGCCCAGTGACTGTTGTTTTTGGACTGTGGCTCCTCTGACTAAAGACACTTAACTCCATTTCCTGGCATATGAATCAGGTCCCCTTTTGTTGTACATGACAACATAACTCAAAGTGGCCCAACCTGTATAAGAAGAGAGAGGCTTCAAATGCTCCAGGGGCATAGGGCGTGTTTCCCCTCCACACACACACACCCCACCCCGCCACCCCGCCCCACCCTCTCTCTGTGCCTTTGCAGACAGTTCCATGCCCATCATAGCAGCAACAGCCCCCCAGCCTCCCAAGGTCAAGCCTAGCAGGGAGGACAAGCTGGCCCAATCCCCTGCAGCCAAAGGCTTCGCAGGTCCTGCATCCCTCCTGGAACTGGTGGTCCCGCCCCGGGAAATGCAGTGCACTGACAGACCAGGCCAGGGCTGCAAGGCCACCTTTGGCATTGCGAGTAAATTTCATGGAAAATCTGAGAGCTGAGAGCAAGGTAGGAGGCATTTCAAAACAGCCACGTGTAACCCGTGGCGAGAAGAAATGGGAACAGAGGTCGTGCAGGGGCTTGCCGGTTGCTCACCCCTTCCTGTCCACCACCACCACCATGTCACCAGGATGAATGTCTGAGTGGCCTGGAGCAACAGCTCATGGCTATCTTGGGCTGCAGCCCCCTGGCAGTTAGATTCTCTGGGCAATGGTGACCTGGGCAGCTTCACACTCCTACCCAGGGAAATATGGGGCAGTACTATTGGCACAGTGACTTGGGGGATCAGGGGAGCTGTTAGCACTGAAGGCCAAGAATGCAATGTACAAAAAGTCTATAATCATGATCCTGCCCAGGAGGCCCAAGGCATCATTAACCATCACTGCCCCTGGGACTCATCTGTGGACACTCCTGTACCGGCCTTGCACCAGGCTCAGTGGCTCGTCATGGACTGTAGGGATCTCTCCTGAAAGTGTGCATGCAAAATGACCCCATGCCAACAGTCCCCCTCTTCCTTCCTGCCATGCGCAGGTCACCTGCCCACTCTGCTGTCAGGTCCTGGAGGCAGGGGCCAGGGCCTTTTCCTCTCTCGGCTCCTTCCCAGATCAAAAGAGAATCTCAGGAATAAGCCTTTGCCCTTGAGTGCATTTTGGATAAACTGAGATTTGGATTGGGTCATTGTATTCAGGGTGGTTTATAAATATGATCATTGGATTGGACTATATTAATTACTACCAATTTCAAAAAACAGCCCCTTATAGGTGCTTTTGAAAGAGAAGTTTAAAGCTGGAAAGAAGAGTAGCCAGTTATCTCTCAAATACGGTGCAGTGACCAAGGCTGCTGTGGCTGGGAGTTGGGGACAGCTGGTGGAGGCTGAGCCTGCAAGTCTAGCATCTTCACCAGGTTGGGCTCAGACCCTGGCTCTGCACATGGTCTTGGGATCAGATTGGTCAGGTCTGCCCCACTGCAGAGACCTCTTCAAGGGTGGAAGAAGGTCACAGGATGGGGATACAAGGAGCAAAGGGTGGAAGCAATTCCAAGAAGCCCCCTCCTCCTGCAGCTGCCTGCCTGATCCACCCAGCTCACTGTGCCAGGGGCACAGGACCATCTGATAGGTTCTTTGCCTTATGGATCCAACTCTGGGCTCCATCCTTTCCACCTGAACCCCAAAGCACAGCCACCCCCCCACTGGCTGTGATGCCCAGTACACCAGCCATGTCTGCATGACAGGGGAATGGAGTAACCTGGACTCAGAGAACTGAACTGCCACAGAGAGACAGTCCTAAGACCCAGGGGTACAGCCCAGTTCTCCTATGGGGGCTCATGCTATGTGCCTAGGGCAGGAAACCAGACCTGAAGTCACCGATAATCCATCAAGATGGGACAGCTATAGCTGCTGTTACAGGTTCTGGCTTCACTGGGGGTCTCACAAAGACCTCTGTCCCCACCCAGCACCTTCTCTGTGCATGCAGTGTGTCACCACACCTCATATACCATCACCAAGAGTCAGAGCAGGGGTTTGATGTGTATGTGAGTAGCACTGGGGTTGGAACTGCTCCACCACTCCACCACTGAGCAGCCCCAGAGCAGGGACTTGAGTTGGCACAATGCCCTTGCCAGTGTTCCAAGAAGCATTTCTGGCCTATGTCAAGTGGAACCAAGCCAGGAGCTGGCACAGCATAGGATCCAGGAGTCCTGAGGTGACTTCATTCAAGGGGTGTGGCATCATTGACTGCCACTGAGGAAAGTGTCCAAGAAAGAGGGCCAGGTTGGTCCCAGCTGCAGGGCTGAGCAGGAATTCAAGCTTGGATTCCTCCAGGAGAGGTGGAGGTGGAGCGTTAAGGAGGAGAGTTCTATCCCAGTCTGGAGTGATGGGTCTCAGTTAAGAGTCCATAAAACAGGTGAGCAGAAATGCCCACTTACCTTCCCCCGGAATCAGGACAAAGGGTCTCCCAGCTCCATGAAGAAACTGAACCCGAGAAGCTGTGTCCTCCTTTAAATCTCTCTCCTCCTCTCCCCTCCATTTTTTCTCCCTCTCTCAGCTGCCACCACCAGTGGTACAGAGCAAACTGCTGGTGTGCGTTCTGGAGGACCTGGTCATACCGGGGCAGTGGTGTTAGGATCACAGTCTGCTGTGGATGGTACCGGGTTTCCTTGCTTTACCTGATGGGGTGCTACTCCCCAGGGGTGGCGGCAGTGCTTCCAATGGGCAGATAAGTCAGCTTCAAGGACTCAGTGTGTGGAAGACCCCAGAGCCTCTCTACCTGGACAGCGGTGCACAGGAGAAGCTAGGTAGCGGATTGTTTTGTGCCTTTGGTAATCAGTGTTCCCTATTATTTGGAGACATTGCTTCCTCTGTGGGAACAGGCAGAGGAGAGTCATTTTCTGGTGGAATTAGGAATTGATTTAATTTCAGAAACTTCCAAGTTCTTTGCCCCTCTCCCTTCATCTCACTCGGAGGCTCAGAGGAAGTTTTCATTTTGTGGGTAAAGTACTGAGGAATGGAATTTCTGGGTTTAACTTGATAAGAAAGTGCCACGCTGCTCTTCAAAGAGGTCGTACCTCCCCACCACAACAAGAGCCTGACCATTTAAAACAGAAACTGTGTTACTCCTTTGGCAAGGGCGGGGGGGGGGGCCTCTCCTGATCCAACGAAAGGATATTTTGTTGTATTAAGGAATTATGATTCATTTTTAGGTGGGAAAGTGATTTTATGGCTAGGTTTAAAAAGAAGGCCCCATCATTTAGAAATGTGTGGAAATACTTGTGGATGAAATACTGGAGGGTCAGGAGGTGGGAGATGAGAATCAGAGGCAGACTAGCTCCGAGCTGATCCTTGTGGAAGTCAGGTGACAGATGTGTGCTGGGCTCATCATCCTCTTCACTGACGGGGTTCAGGGCAGGCCATCTCCAAAATGCCACTCTGGCATAAGGATTGTTTTAAGCAGAAAGCCATTGAGGAAAAGGTCGTCACAGGACAAACTCTCTGCCCTCTCCCATCTACCTGAAAACAGAACATCAATTCCTCTTATGAAAGAGCCCCACCCCCACCTCCTGCACCAGGAAGGGAGAACAACTGCACCCTGGGGTCAGATGGCATGAGAAAGAGTCCACACAGACAAACCTTACCAACTGCCCTTATCTACCACTGGTGTCCCCACATGTGTGCCCACCCAGTTAGCCACCTCTTGTCACTCCTGTACAAAATTCTTATTCTTGGCTAAGATTCTATGTTAACCTTTGAGTTACCCCTCCCTGAGTGTCCCCATGTGTACCTGAGATGCACTCATTCATAAACTTCTGTTTTTCTCTTGCTAATCTGCCTTTCGTCAGTCAATCTGCCAGGCACAGCCAGTGAAACCAAGACAGGTAAAGGGATATTTTTTTCCTTCCTATTATGATCTGAATCTTTTGTCCCCTGCCCCAAATTCATATGTCGAATCCTAAGCCAATCCCCAGGGTGACA